GTGTTGTCTTCACCCGCAACGCCCCTCCCCCAAACCCCCCACCCTGCGCTCATTTAACCTACCCCCCCTGGAATGTGTTGGTCAGGGGCCCCCACTTCCTGGGACGCACATTGCCAGGGTGGTTTCTCTCCTGGAGGCCCATAACCAGCACCGTGTGCAACCACCCCCCCCAAAAAAAAACTGGCTCCTATATGACAGAAGGTAAACTTGGAAATATCCATCCTAGACTCTGACCCAGCCCTGGATCCACCGCAATACAGCACCATCCCCCAGTATCCCAAACATTGATCCCACCATTCATCACACTGTCCTTTCCCAGAAATATTCCCGTTGTCCTTCGCTCATTATTTCCCATTCTTTTTTCCCTTTCACCTCCATCCTCTTTCCCTCCCGCCCTGCTCCCCCAAGGCAGTTCCAGGGCCCGGAGTCTCCCTGAGCTGACCAAGCAGCCTGAGGTCTGGGCCTTGACAAAGGCTGACAGTGTGTGGGAATTGGCCAGGTACACTGCTCCAGGAAACCACTCTCTTTCCCCCAGCTCGGAACAAGGCTGGTTTGAATCTGCACTGTCCCCTCTCATGACCACAGCCTGGACTCTTTTTTTCCCCACTGCAGCACACCACCCACCCCCACCCCCGCCCCCCCTTGGTCTGAGCAGTGTTGTTGTGACTGTCCCAGAGATCTCCTTGGCCTAAATCTCCTCCTGCTCCTGGTCGGATTGGCCAGGCCGACGAGAGCCACCTGTATGGTTCCAGGCTGCACGTCAGATCCAGGCAGTTAAGTAGCTTCATGTTTCCTTGTGGGTGCTGTGTGTGTCTGAATCCCCTACAGCACTCCCTCTGTCTCCTCCTCCTCCACCTCCTTATGTCCAGCTTCTTGGCCCCAACACGGTCAAGGTGACCCAAGCTTTGTTACCAAGGGCAACGCCAGACACAAGACTCCGCTAAGTGAGAGAAAGAAAGGGTTTACTTCAGGGAATGGCCTGGCATGGTCCAGTGTCGTATAAAGCTTGGGTAGATGTGACCGATTGGTCCTGAGCAAGCATGTGGACCACATGGAAGCTGCAAACTGGCGAATGGTACCAGACCAAAGCATGCCTGGCTCCTTTGAGAGCCCACCCCACTGTTCTAGGACCTGTGGGCTCTCCCTCTCCGTCGTGTTGAAGAGACCTCAGAATCTGAGATGGTCATGGTGGATGTTGATGCCTTTTCCGCCTGAAGAGGCAAAAGAACTTCTCCTGAGACCCTCCGGGTGCCAGAGGTGAGCTACTGTGCGTTACTCGCTGCCTGTGTCAGAGGCAGAGTCGGAGGAACCTGACCCGGTGCTATAACTCCCGGAGGGAGCCCCCAAAAAAACAACCAGCCTATGTCCTGGGACTCGAGGGGAGGAATGTAAAGATTGTAACGAGGTCAGCGGGTGGACCTCGTGGAATACAAGATGCCTGATTTGGGGCTGTTAACCTGTTCCAATCAGGGAGCCCTGGCTGACAGACATAAACAGGAGGGTCAGAGGTTCTGCTCACTCTGAGAGCTGGATCAGTGTCAAGCACTACACACGTGTAAATAAAGGGTGACTTAATGATGGGATACTCGTCTCTGTGGAGTTATTTCACGTTCTATTAACTTTCCAGTTTCCTTGCTCTCTCTGCATGCTAACCTTTTGTGGTTCATGCATTAGAGCACCCAGATCCCTCTGCAATCTCTCATCACTGAGATAATGTACTTTTTTTTTGTTTTTGAAATGCTTCCAAAATGCCAAAATGGAAAGTTTCACATTTTTCCAGATCCCACTCATTTATCCTCTTGACAGCACATCTCTGTGTAACTTCTCGATGTCCTCGTCACAACATTATGTAGGATTGAGAGTTCTCGGCTTGTACAGTTTGGAAGGTGAAGGGGAGGGAGGCTGGGCACCTCCATGGGAACTCCACGGCCCAACTGGAACTGTTTTTAAGGCTGTGTCCATATCGTCTCCATCCTCCCTCCACAAAACCGAATCAAAGTTAAACCCAGGTCAACCAAAGCACAGTCTTGAGCTTTAGAAGGATAATTAGGAGGGGCTGACCAAATGGGACAAAAGATCGGATTTTGAGGGAGGTGGCTCAGGAAGGGAATTCTGGAGTTTTTGGGCCCAAGCAATTTTGAGATGGTGGAGGGGTGCAGCCAGATGGTGCAGAGGGAGTGTGGGGTGGGCGAGAATTGTGTTGGTCTGGAGGCTGGAGATGGGAAGGGAACAAGGCACAGTTTCAAGAGGAAGGTGACAGGATCCTCCTGGGATACTGCAGGGCTCTGTTTCCGGAATCACTCGCTCGTATTTGGATTTGTTCGGTGGCTCCTTCAGGATGAGAACGCAATCTGACCTCTGACCTGTCAGTGCCCCCTCACCTCGAACGGTCCTTCTGTAAATGACCAACTTGTTTATCTGATACCTCGGACTGGAGGAGCAGAATGTTTGGCCTATTAAATATCGGGAAGCCTGAAGCCCTTGTCTTTGTTTCACACACCAAACTCTTAACCACAGGCTCTAGCCCTCACCATGGCAACGATCTGTTTCATATGGTCATGGCTGATCGTCCAACTTGGTTCTCTGTTCCTGCCTTCTCCCTTTTTAATCCCTTTAGCCTCAGGAACTATATCTAACTCCTCGTTGAAACGCTCACATTTTGTTTTTGGCCTCAACTGCTTTCTGTTGCTGTGAATTCCCAAGGCTCACCACTCTCTGGGTCAAGAAATTCCCCTTTTATCTCAGCCTGAGGATGCTCCAGGCTACTTAAGGAAAGATATCATTTCATTGGAGGCAGTTCAGAGAAGGTTCACCAGGATGATCCCTGGTATGGAGGGATTGTCTTAAGAGCAAAGGTTAAACAGGTTGGGACTCCATTCACTGGAGTTTAGAGGAATGAGAGGCAATATCAATGAAACAAAAGAGGGTTGACAGGGTAAATGCTGAGAGGATGATTCCTGTTCTGGGAGAGTCTAGGACCAGAGGGAATAGTCTCAGGATTAAGAAGCATCAATTCAAGACTGAGATGAAGAAGAATTTCTTCTGTCAGAGGGTTGAGTCTCTGCTTCCTGTCTCCCTTTCCTCTGAAAACCTACTACCTGCCACAATATCATCTTGGATTGGAGTTTTGTTAATGTTCTTATGAGTACCTTGCCATTACTTTACTGCCATTAAAGTTCCCCGTGCTGTGTTAAACCTTAACCTAGTTTTGCATCGCTCCAACAAGTAACAGCACACACCAGGCTTGTCCTTAACTTTCAGGCATGATGGGATGTTCGACAGTTGAGGTCACTATTTAAAAATAAGGGATCACCCATTTAAGACTGAGGTAAGATAAATCTTTCCTCTGATGCTTGTGGGCGTTTCTTGAAAGGCAGAGAGCTTTTGAAGAATATATTTTTTGAAGGCAGAGTTGGATAGATTCCTTGTTACTGAGCAAGAAGGTGAAGGAGGCGGAGTTAAGGTTATAGTCTTATGGTCGCCATTATCCTATGAATGGCTAGGCAAGGTCAATGGGTCAATGGGTCAATGGGCCAAGTGGCCTGTTTCTCCTATTTTTCGTACGTCGTTGAGATGGTGTACAAAAGCTACTATTACCATCTCTGTCTTGATTTAAAAATGGGCTCCACACGGGCTGTGAATATTTTGTGCCAAGTTTGTTGAGATAATTAGGGTCTGGAGCACTGTCCGCCATTTGCCCTTTCTGCTCCTTTCCATGTTTTGCCTCCCTTGTTGGCCCCTTATGGTCCGCTTTGCTACCCCCGGCCCCCCAACCTCGCGTTCCTTGCTGACAAACCCTTCCCGCCTGCCCTTCCCCCACCTTTTTGCAGCTTTCTGCAGATAAAAATACAGCTGACCAAGGCCTACCAAAACACTGGAGGGTTTGGTCACCATGGAGACCAGGAAAGGCTCTGGTCTGATCCCAGGTGCCTCTGGAATCCATGAATCATGTAGACAGGGTGGTTAAGGTGTTTAGCATGCTTGCCTTCATTGCTCAGACCTTTGAGTGTAGGAGTTGGGACATCATGTTGGGGTTGTACAGGACATTGGTGAGGCCTCCTCAGAAGGACTCTGTGCTGTTCTGGTTGCTCTGCTGTAGGAAGGATATTAAACAGGAGATGGTTCAGAAGAGATTTACCAGGATACTGCTGGGAATGGAAGGTTTGAATTACAAAAATACATTGGAAAGGCAGTGTATTTTTTCACTGGAGCGTAAGAGGTTGAGTGGTGACCTTTTATAGAGATCTATATAATCATGAGGGGTATAGATAAAGTACGTAGCAAGGATCTTTTCACTCGCATGGAGGTTCAAGACTAAGGGGCATATTTTTAAGGTGAGTGGATAAATATTTTAAAAAAAATACATGAGGGGCAATGTTTTTACCCAGAGAGTGGTTCGTGTGTGGAATGAACTTCCAGAGGAAGGGATGGATGTGGGTACAGTTACAATGTCCAAAAGACATTTGGATAAGTACATGAATAAGAGATGTTTGGAAGGATATGGGTCAAGCACAGGCAGGTGGGACTAGTTTAGTTTGGGAATATGTTCGGTGTGGACAGGTTGGACTGAAGGGTCTGTTTCTGTGCCATTTAACTCTCTGGGTGCGGGGGGGTGGGGGAGTGGGGGGGTGCTATGATTTGTTTTTGGCCTGTGGGTCTCCTGGGCTGGCTATCGAGCAGTGGATTCCTGGGGGTGGCGGGGCAATACCACTGGGGTTGGGGGATCTGCATTGGTAAGGACTGGTTCCTTGAAGGCATTGCCTGCTCTTGCAAAACAGCCAGACAGCTTCTTAGGCAGGGAACCCCAGTTGACACAGCAAGCTCCCACAGGGAGCAAGGTGATAAATGGTAGGGCTGTGCTTTTGGCTCGGTGGTGGCTGGGGGACACGGAGCTGGGGTAGGGGGGAGGAGACGGGGAAACAAGCGGTTGCCGTAAAGGGTCCGCGTTCGGACACTCCGATTGGCTGTTTGCCAAGGCCTGACCTGGTTCTGATTTGCAGGTGCGGAGCCGGTACTGGGGGGTGACGCGAGACCAGGCCACCGTGTGGGACACCATGGACGAGTGTTTCTACAATCGCTCCGTCTGGTTTTTCTACAATAGCACGGGTAAGGAGCTGAGTCCAATCTGGCGAACCAAGGACAAGCTGGTGGTGTCCCTGGGCCTGCTGGTCTGTGTCATCATCATCCTGGCCAACCTGCTGGTCATCATGGCCATAGCCATCAACCGCCGCTTCCACTTCCCCATCTTCTACCTGTTGGCCAACCTTGCGGCTGCTGACCTCTTCTCTGGCGTGGCCTACATGTTCCTCATGTTCCACACAGGCCCACGCACCATTCAGCTCAGCGTGCGCACGTGGTTCTTCCGACAGAGCCTGCTGGATATCAGCCTGACCGCTTCGGTCGCCAACCTCCTGGCCATCGCAGTGGAGCGCCACCAGACCATCTTCCAGTTCCAGCTACACAGCAAGATGAGTAACCAACGCGTGACCATTCTCATTGGCTGCATTTGGTGCACAGCCATTCTCATTGGCTTCATCCCACACCTTGGCTGGAATTGTATCTGCCACCTGTCTACCTGCTCGCGGATGGCTCCGCTCTACAGCCAAAGCTACCTAATCTTCTGGGCAGTGTCCAACCTGGTCATCTTTGGTGCCATGATGCTGAACTACCTTCACATTTACTACTATGTCAGGCAGAAAACCCAACGCATGTCCCGCCACACATCGTTCCAGCAACGTCATAAAGACACCATGATGAACCTCATGAAGACTGTCGTCATGGTCCTGAGTGAGTGCCTTTTCTCTTTTTTTTCCTCTCTCTCTCTCTCTCTCTTTTTCTCTCTCTCTCTCTCTCTTTTTCTCTCTCTCTCTCTCTTTTTCTCTCTCTCTCTCTCTTTTTCTCTCTCTCTCTCTCTCTCTTTTTCTCTCTTTTTCTCTCTTTTTCTCTCTCTATCACTCACGCTGTCTCACACATGTGCGCTTGCTCTCACTTTCCCACCCCTACCATGTTCTTCTCGGTAAAACCAACAAGGGTAGTCCCCTTGGCCCTTCAGGTCTGCTGCCCCATTCCATAAGCCATGGCTGACCTAATTTTACTCTCAACTCTCTGTTCCTACACATTTCCCCACCCCCCAACTCCCAACAATCCTCAATCCTCTTAGTCATCAAGAATCCATGTTAGCCTTAAAAAGATTTACAGATTCTGTATCCACTGCCTTCTGAGGAAGGAAATTCCAAAGATTGATCCTCAGAGAGACAAAATGTTTCCTCATTTCTCCATTTCACCCCATTATTTTTTAATTCTGACACTTAGTTCTACAAGAGGAAATGTCCTTTCCGCACCCCACCCGGTCAGCTCCCCTCAGGATCTTAGAATCCCTACAATGTGAAATCAGGCAGTTTGGCTCATCAGGTCCACACCGACCCTCTGAAAAGTATCCCACCCCCCTACCCTATCCCTGTAACCCTTTCCCAATGGCTAATCCACCGAGCCTACACATCCTGGGACACTACAGGGCAATTTAGCATGGCCAATCTGCCTAACCTGAACATCTTTTGGACTTATAGACATCTTATATGTTTCAATTAAGTCACCTCTCCAGTCCAGCGGATACAGGCTGAGTGTGTCTAGTCTTTCCTCGTAAGATAATCAAAAGCATATTACGCTGGAGATCTGACATAAAATCCACACACACAATTTCGGGAGGCAATGACCCAGTAGCATCATTACTGTACTATTAATCCAGAAACCTGGGGTAATGTTCCGGGGACCCGGGTTCGAATCCCACCCTAACAGAGCTTGACTTCTATAAAAATCTGGAATTAATAGCCTAGTGGTGACCATGAAATGTTGTAGCTTGTCAGAAAACCCATCCGGTTCACTAATGTCCTTTTTTAGGGAAGGAAATCTGCCATCTGTACCTGGTCTGGCCTACATGTGACTCCAGACCCACAGCAATGTGGGTGACTCTGAACTGCCCTCTGAAATAGCCCTAGCAAGCCGCTCAGCTCAAGGGCAATTAGGGATGGGCAATAGATGCTGGCCTTGCCAGTGCCGGGGAGAGGCAATGGCCTAGTGGTATTATCGCTGGACTGTTAATCCAGAGACCCAGACAACGTTCTGGGGACCCAAGTTCGAATCCCGCCATAGCAGATGGTGGAACTTGAATTCAATAAAATATCTGGAATTAAGAATCCAATGATGACTGTGAATCCATTGTCAATTGTCAGGAAAAACGAATCTGGTTCACTAATGTCCTTTAGGGAAGGAAACTGCCATCCTTACCTGGTCTGGCCTACATGTGACTCCAGACCCACAGCAATGTGGTTGACACTGAACTGCCCTCTGGGCAATTAGGGATGGGCAATAAATGCTGCCTAGCCAGCGATGTCCTCATCCCGTTAATGAATAAAGAAAAAAAAAACCACATCCCATCAAAGAATGAAGAAAACAGGCCATTCAGTCCAGCTCCCAACCGAAGTCTTCTTCACCCTCCTGTTTATCAAATGCGATTGGTCTCAATCACTGCCTGTGACAGAGAATTGTCAGTGTGCTCTCGAGATAAAGACCTTTTATCGCTGGTTGGCCTGTTTGTTATCTACATGACCCCTCGTTTAGGACTCCCTGCAATTTGGAAACATCTTCTCCAAAGCCATTGTATCAAACCCTGTGATAAATTTAAATAGTTCCCTTTTAATCCTTTTTATTTTGTAGCTATTCTGGAAAACCTCATTAGATTTTATCTATGTCCTGTCAATCTGTTTTGTGCTACCATTAATGCCTCTGTCTCATTTGTCAGGAGCAGTCATGCACAATATTCCCACGTGGGGCCAAACTGGGATTTGATACAGCCTCATTGTCTCTTTCCCCTAGATTTGAGCCGGAGTGCTCTCCTTTTCTACAGGCCTGAGTTTCTACCTCGAATGATTTCTCAACCTGCTTCCCCCGGATCCCTTTTTGCTCCCCTACCCCTCTCATAGAGAATGTGTAGGTAGTGCCCCTGTCTCAGGGCCTGTAGCTCTGGGGTTGAGTCCCATCACAGGACTTGTTGGCTGAGGAAGGATGATGTGGTCCAACAGGTCAATTGACTGACTGTAAATCCTTCAAATTCGTCTGATGGCAGACAGTAAGAGCAGGAGTCATAGGGTCTTACAGCACGGAAACAGACTCTTCAGTCCAACCAATCCATGCCGACCAGATATTCTAAATTAATCTAGTCCCATTTGCCAGCATTTGGCCCATATCCCTTTAAACCCTTCCTATCCATATACCCATCCAGATGCCTTTTTCAATTTTGTAATTGTACCAGCCTCCTCCACTTCCTCCTGGCAGCTTATTCCATACACACACCACTCTCTGTGTGAATAAGTTGCCCTTCAAGTCCCTTTTAAATCTTTCCCATCTCATCTTAAACCTATACCCTCTATTTTGAACTCCCCTACTCTGGGGAACAGACTTTAGCCATTCACCCTACCTGCACCCCTCATGATTTTATAAACTTCTATAAAGGTCACCCCTCAGCGTCCAATGCTCCAGGGAAAACAGCCCCAGCCTTTTCAGCCATTCCTTATAGCTCAAACCCAGCAACATCCTTGTAAATCTTTTCTGAACCCTTTCAAGTTTCACAACATCTTTCCTATAGCAGGGGTATCTCCTGGTTGGCATTTGCAGAGTAAATGACAAATCACTGGGGTACTTTGCCCGTAAAAATGGACCAATCCAATGAAAGTGCATGGTCTAATCCTTCGAAACAAGACAGATGACAGGCCCTGTTTTTACATTTCAATTTCCCACTGTGTCACCTCCCTGTTCTTCCTGTAAGATCTTGGGGTCCATTTCTAAACTTGAATTGTGAAACCCAGATCAATTACCGTGAGAGGTACTTCAATGAAAATGCATGATATGTTACGAGACACTTGCAGAGTCGGGTCCGATTTGAACCTGGATCATCTGGCCCAGAGGTAGGGACACTACCACAGCTCTGCTGGAACTTTTAGTTCCCTTCACAGACCAAGTGAGTGGGGCTAAGCTTAAAGATTTTGTTAGTCCTGATGAATTGCAAGACCCATTCTTTAGTGTTGGTATGTCATCAGCAATTTCACAGCATTTATTCAGTTCACCAAAATGGGCAGAAAGGATTGACACTTTAATACTGCAGTGGACTCTTGTCAATTCACCACAGAATGTTGGCTTTCAACTTGTAGCTCACTGGGTTGCTGTCTCTTCTTGTGTTCCATTTCTGTCTGTCTTCGCACTGTCTTAGTAAGAACCAAGCCTACTAAACTGTTACTAGATTGTTACTAATCAACTGGTTCAGAGATTTTCAGGCACACCTCTTGTGCAAGTGGGACTTGAACCCAGGTCTCCTGGCCAAGAGGTAGGGACATTACCACCGTGCCACAGGAACCCCTCTCCCTCTCTTGATACCCCGAGCTCCTCATCTCTGGTTTATTTAATTGGAGGGAGTTAAACCAAAGCCTTTATTGAAGATGATTTGCTTTTCAAAGCCCTTGTTTAGGGAGCATGTGCCGTCATGTCTTTTACCACATGGTACCGTTTTATATATGTAATCAAACAATATAAAAGCAATGCAGACGATTACATCCAATGCGTGTGTGAATATAATTGCATGATGACCATGAAATGTAGAGAGGCAGGGTTGTGAAGTTTGTTTATTCATTCAGTTACTCTGTAGCCTTGAGGAATGAGAGTCAAAAAGGGCTGTAAAATTTTTGAAAAAAAAAATGAATTTCACTGTGGCAGAATGTGATCTAACTTGAAGAATACATTTTAGGAAAACGTGATTCTGAATCTGTCTGACTATATAAGTGTCTCGCCTGCACCCCCCACCCGCCCCCTCTCACGGTGCATTAAAAGCAGTCTAAAGTAGAACATGACTTTTATTTTCCTTTATCCCCTTTTCAACTTTCCTCTAATCAAGACAATGCTGGGTACTAAACGAGGATTTAACGAAAGGATGTCTGCTTGCCCTGTGATCTTACAAATACAAGCTGAGATAATCATGTGATGCACAAGTCTCCTACGTTGATTACATTTGACCCAGACACAGTTTAATTCTTAACTTGCTAAATTAACTAGCCATTCGGATACAGAACTGTCTTGAAGGTAGAAGACCGAGGGTGCTGGAGAGTTTGCTTTTCAAACTGGAGGCCTGTGACCAGCAGTGTGCTACAAGGATCAGTGCTGGGTCTGCTGCTTTTAGTCATTTATATAAATTATTTGTATGTGAACATAGGAATGGTTAGTAAGTTTGCTGATGACACCTTAAAGAGGCAGTCGATTTTGAAATAATCAGGGAGATGACGGTGAGGTTGAGAGGGATTGAGGCCTGGGACAGATGGGCTGCGATCTTCTTGAATGGCAGGCTGGATAGAGGGTATTATAGAACAGATGGTGGAGGCTGGCGGGGATGGAGAAGGTTCATTGGGGGCTACAGGGTTTGAAAACAAAATGAGAGAGAGATTTTCAAAGCATTTGCTA